CAGAGCCAGGTGATCCAGTGGTGTGTCCCCTGAGCAGCAGCCTTAAGTTAGGGCTCTCACCCTGTGCACAAGCACCTCTCAGAGAGAACCAGCCACCAGAGTGCAGCAGAAGGAGAATGTGGAAGTGATACCCTCTCAGCTCCCTGGTCTCGGGGAGGATGGTTGCCTCCTGATGTGTGTTAGATGAGAAGTTGACCCTCAACATCAGCCTTTATGAGAAGCCAATAGGCCTCTTTCAGGGAAAGATTGGGTGATGGGCATTAGTATCTGTTGCCTCGTGGTGAGACCTGGGGGAGGAGGGTAAAAGAGTGGGTGAGACGTGGTGAGCTACAGGGATCCTCACAGACCACTGAGAACTGCTTCTTGGCTATAGCCCTTGGATCTTGGGGACTCAAGACTTGTAGCTTTCAGACATCCTCAGTCCTTGTAGCTTTTGGACATACTCTATTTGGAGGCTCATCCCTCATTGGGAAATTTAATATTTGGAGTGCTCAATGTTGAGTCTGAATATCACTCCTCAAGGAGAACCTGGGAGGTGTGGGTCTCTCCTGATTATATGTCATTGTGCCGGGTGTGGGCGCTAGGCATTTGTCTCTATTGTCTCGTGGTGAGACCTGTGGGGTGAGCTACAGGGAGTCCTCACAGGCCACTGAGAACTGCTTCTTTGCTGTCATCCTTGGACCCTGTGGATTCAAGTCCTATGGCTGTCAGACATATTTATTTGGAGGTTCATCCATCATGGGGAATTTAAAATTTTGGAGTGTTCAATGTTGTGTCTGAGTCCCATTTCTTAAGGAGAAGCTGGGAGGTTTAGGTCTCCCCCGATTATAGGTCACCATGCCGGGGGGTGGGTTTATGGGGAGATTGTGTCAGGTAACAGCCTGAGATTGTGTCTCATCTTTTCTTATTTGATTAATATATGATTTTGGTGTGTGTGTCCAAGGTCTGCGAGCTGCTCGTCTGGTTTCTGGGTTCTTTCTCAGGGAATTGTTGCATTAGTAGCTGCAGCTTCAGTAAGTCTATGGGCAAACGTGAGTCAGGTGCCTCCTAAGTCAACATCTTGAACCAGATTGATTTTGCTTTAAAGAAAAAGAACCTTATTTTTCTCAAGTCATGATGGAGCCAACACAGTGATTGAATTCGATGCCCAACACTCACAGAGAAGCCAAGTCTGAGGCAAGAGTGTTTCATGGAGAAAAGATTTATTCTTTAGCTGCCAAACCCAGCTCAGATCTGTCTCCTTCCACACACTGGACTACAGACGTAGAGCAAATTTATGGGAAGGAGAGATTATACATATGTGTTCATGCTAATCAGGAGTCTTGATTGGACAGTGTTGAAACTAAGAAACCTAAGATGAGGAAAGGGAAATGTGAGAGGAAGTATAAAGGCATTTCCAGAGGGTGGGTTTAGGTTGGGTGAGATCTAGGTGGCCAGCCAAGTGCAAATTCCTGATCCTCCTTCATCTGTGCACAGGTTCTGGCAAAAGGTTTCAGCCATCCATCAGAGTTCATGGAGTCATTTGTAAGTTTTCTGCACCTGTGCCTGGCTCTGGAACCAGTCTGATCCGGTGGTCAAAGGCACTGTGGGAAGTCTTGCTGTTCTTTCTGAAAACAACAACAACTGTTAGGTCTGGTTTGGTATCAGGGCCAGGTTTCAATTACTGTAGGGTTTGTTCCAGCTTCCCCTCGTGCTAGCAAGCATGTGCCCAACTTTGAAGCAAATGTGAATCTTGCTGTCTTCAAATAGATTCATGGCTGCAGATGCCAGACTACAGTTGGGGAAATTTCCCCAGAAAAGTCTGAGAACAGGTCAGGCAGCCAGGCCCCTGGAAAGGCTTTCGAATTGAATACTTCTTGGAGCTGGAAAACTCAGAGGGTGCAAGTTCCTCAATGAGCAAAGGAAGGAAAGGGTCTGTATCACACAGTCTTGTTCCAGATTCTGTGTGTGCTCATTGACTGCTCTCTCCTCAAAAGCCCCACAATTCTTTGGGGTAGCATGAGTCCTATTTTACAGAGGAGGAAATTGTCTCAGAGAGTGTTAATGAGTTGTTCAAGGTCACTTAGCTGGTGTGTGTGTTCCAGTATCTGAACCCACGTTTCTATGCCTACAAGACCTCAGAGAAGAACTTCTCCACTGTGACTTGCCTAAAGGACTTTGAGCACATCTCCCTCAGTGTCTGGTGAGTGATTGGTTGTCTGGTCTAGAGATTCTACACTTGGTCATTGTAGGTAAGAAAATTTTTGAAAAAACCAAGTATATATTAACTAGTGGCCCTCTGCAGGAAGATTTCTACAATAGGGCTTCCTGCTGTGGTCGCTGCCCCACCTGTTTTCCTCCCTTCTCCCCTAGCCCTGCCTGCTTTCCTCCTTTCTCCGCTGCCCTGCTTGCTTCTCCACAGCTTCACTGCCTTCTGTAGGCTTGGTTTCTTACTAGCTGTCTTGATATGCAAATTTACTGCCATCTTGATGGGTTAATTTGCATATTTGCCCTGATTGGTTGGCAGGCATGGCTTGTGTAGCAGAGTGATGGTTAATTTGCATATCACTCTATTATCAGCTTAGATATTTATCAAGAAAAATAATTTTCAGCCCTGGCCAGTGTTTCTCAGTGGTTAGAATGTCAGCCTGAGCACTCAAGGGTCTTGGGCTCTATTTCTGGTCAAACACGTGTACCTGGGCTTTAGATTTAATCCCTTGCCCCGACCACTCAATGTGTCTGTCTCACCTCTCTCTCTCTCTCTCTCTCTCTCTCTCTCTCTCTCTCCATCCCTCCATGTTTTTTTTTCTTTCACTTTCTCTTAAAAAAAAATCAATGGGGAAAAAAATCCTCTGGTGAGGATTAGCAAAAAAAGGAAAGAAAAAGAAATGAAAATATTTTCAAATCACCTATCAGTGAATGTAAAGACCATTCCACAGAAGAAAGAATATTTTAATAGCAAGGAAACAGAAAGAAAAGACTTTATTTCTTTAGTTATTCAAGATATATTGAGTACCCATCATGAAAAAGTACTTACTATCACTATAAATAACCCTAGACAGTGATAATTTGAAATTCTGTGTGTGAGTGTGGGTGCGTGTGTGTTTGTGTGTGTGTGTTTGAGAGGAACTTTATTTAATAATATGTAAAATCAAACAAACAAACAAACAAAAAAAAACCTTACTAAAAAAATCTACTGAAACAGGCCTGAAGAGTGAGAGAGTGTGGTATTTGAATGAAGATCCTCTTGCCTCTTCTCACTTCATCTCAGTACACACAGGACACAGGGTTGCCCCTGCCTCAGATCCCAGTTGAAATACCATTTCAGGAATTCTCAACTACCTGAAAGCACTGTATCTTAGCTACATAACATCCTTAAAGGGCAACCACAAAGACTCATTTTAAAGGCACACCCATTATTAAAGCAATGGCAAGGTGAATGTGAGTGGGAAACTACCAAATTGCAGAACTTGGTCACAGTATTGCTTTCTCTTCCTCCAGCTTCTAGGTCAATGGGGATTCCTGAAAGTCTGATTGCACTTGAGGTCACCGCCTCTTATTCCTAGCATCCCATCTCCCACTCCTACCACACCTAAGTCCTGTGTATGGGATAACAGAGCTGCGATAATTTGGGATTGTGTCTGTGTCTGAGAGGAACCTGTGTGAAGACCCAGCTCTGGGGCATCAGGGGCCATGAGAAGGAGCAGGAGCCTGTGGACAGCAGTTCTGGGTTGGGGGAGGCATTTGGAGCAGAGTCCACAGAAGCTTCTAGTCAACATTTTTTCTGGGGCTGGGTCCCTGGTGTTAAGAAGGAGGCAACAGACACTGAGAGTGGCAGGTAACAGGTCAGAAAGGAAGGAGCTGCGGGGAAGGAGCTGTGGCAGGTAACAGGGCAAAAAGGAAGGAGCCGTTAATTATCTGCTCATCATTCAAGAAGATTTCCCTGCGTGTCTCCTATGTCCTGGCTGTCTTCCTCCGGGAATGCCGGTCATGAGAGGACACACAGGCCCTGGCATCGGACTCTGCCCCTAGTTCTCCTCCCCAGGTCCTTGTCCTCCTTCCCAACCCTCCCCTCTGTCACATAGAGCATCACACTGGGAACAGCCATCAGAGCAGCTGACCGGGACTGCTCCACATTACTGTAAATGGGGGTTCCTCCTGCCCAAGGAGCCCCACAATCAAATGAACTAGATGTGGTCTCCAAGGGAACCGTCCCCTCAGCTGGCCTCGTTCAGTTTCCTCTGCCCACTTCTCTGCAGGAGCCCTGGGACTCTGTGAACACCTGTCAGAAACCACGGAACCAGCCTCCTTCTACAGTCCGCCACCCATTTCCCGGGAGGTAGGAATCTCTGAAAGGCGTCTGCAAGCCTCCTGAGAGTATCAAGGGAGAGGTGTCACCTTGTCTGAATTCCACCTGGGCCGTCACCGTGTGTGTCTTGTGGGCTGACTGCTACTGTGAACCTTCTCGCTACTGTGGACCTTCTCTGGAACAGACGTTAGCCTGCCCCACCTGTCCCATAACTTACAGTCAGGCTCTCCTCTGCCTGTTGACATACCATTTCCCCGAACATAAGACATCCTCCGAAAATAAGACCTACTTACAGGTTTCCTTCTGAGTGAAATATAAGGCATCCCCCCGAAAATATGGCCCCCCCTACCCCCAGGCTCTGTCTCAGAATGCTATTGCTAAACATGAGAGATTTGGTCCACTGATTCTGAAAGAAATGGAGTCACAAGAAATTCACCAGGAATTCAGGAATTGAATTGTTATGATGATGTTCTAGAAGATGATGACATGATTGTCATTGAATAAATGAGTAAATTCTTGATACTGTAAGATTCAGTTTGTCTGGTTTGTGTTGACAACTATGTACTACCAAACCATATACAGGTAATAAATTTCCTTAATTTTCATTTAACAATAAATATGTACCATATTCTTCTTCATGGAAAAACAAGACATCCCCTGAAAATAAGACCTAGTGCATCTTTGTGAGCAAAAATTAATATAAGACACTGTCTTATTTTCGGGGAAACAGGGTAGATGGCAGAGACTCCAGCCATCAGCAGCACCTTCCAGCCTAAGAGGACAGCCATAATGGATAGGAGATAGTGCTGAGTAGAAAGTGCTGGGTTTGCAAGACAAGGGACAATAGAAGCCATTAGAGGAGACCATTCCAGAGTCTTTGACTCAGTGCATCCCAGGCTACTTGAATCCAGGACCACTCTGAAGCTCTTATGAGCTCCTGCTTGAGGCAGCAACTAGGCAAAATGTTTCTTTATCCTCAGTGTCCCTGTTAATAGGCTGCCAGAGTCATCCTCGTTGAGGAAGGCGATGGGCAGAATGTGTACTCAGTGACCCACTGTGTGGCACCTGATGTCCTTACTGGGTCCTCACACCCCTATGGGGCAGGTGGTATTAATCTCATTCTGATGAGGAAACTGAGGCTTAATGCTGAGAGGATGTGTCATCATCCCCAAGTTGCAAAGGAGGACACTCATATTCCCAGGGGTGAACTCTGTGAGAGGGGCAGGGCGACAAGCAATTCCAGGCCTTTGTTCAAAGTCCATTCTTTTTCCCTCCAGATGATTTCCCACAGTCTGGGCCCTGGGACAAAGTTCATGGTCAGTATCATTTTTGTGCATTGGCTGCTCACAGCTGGAGACAATCCTTACAGATCCATGAATGGACCATGATTATCATTCTCATCAAGTGGGGAAACTGAGGACTTGGGGGAGACAGAGACTTGCCCAGAGCACACAGCTGTGGGATGACAATGCCGTTGTTCAGTTAGGGTGTGCTCTCTCAACAGGCTCACCTGAAAACATTCTATTAAGGCAGATTGGATTATAGTATCAATATTTGGTTAATCAGTGATTTTTATCAGCATTATATAATCCTACTCAATTTCTGCAGGTGAAGAGCTGAGGCCCAGCCAAGTTAACTGGGTCGTGACACTGACATAACACCTTGATTTGGGGGTGCACCTCTGTGCTGGGTGATTCAGACAGAGCTCCTCAAATCCTTTCCACTCTCCTAAAAGGGGTCCATGAATATTGCCATTTTAGAGATGAAAAAACTAACACTGAGAGAATGAAGGGACTGTCCCCTTGGCCACTACTGTGCCCCAGAGGTATTCCCTGTGGCCTCCCAGGTGTTCATGTCCACCAGCAGAGCAAGTGCCCACCTTCAGGAGCCTGACCCTGACCTCTAGCTGCTGCAGGGAGGAGTGCCCTTCAGTGCCCAGGCAGGGGCCCTGTGGCAATAAATGGGGAAAGGGGCTCCTGGCAGTGAGTCTAGAATATGAACTCCTGCTCACTGGGTGCAGAGCCCTCTAGGAAATGCCCCTCCTCTCCCTCAGTCTGCGGAGCCAGAGATGCTGCCCATGGTGGTGCTGGGGCTCAGCGACCCCTCTCTGCTCCATCCAGGCCACTGTGCCAGGTGGCTCCTGTGACTGCTCAGTGAGAAAAACACCAAAAAGAAGGGAAAGGCCCTCTCGCTGCCTCTATAGGCAGAGCCATGTCCTGTAGGAATAGTTTCAGGCCATGTCATGGGACATTTGAAAATCTGTCTCATCTCAGTTGGAAAGCTAGACCTGCCTTCCTTGCGAACCTTCCTTAAATTCTTTTTTTCAGAAGAACATAATAATGCATGATTCTAAGAAAAGGGTTGGAGTTTCTACACACATTGACAAGCACAGTGTGGTGTTGCCACAAGCAGGCATTGTGAGTTATGTCATTGGGGTTCAAATTTTAGTTCCCTCTCCTGCTAAGTTCAGGTTCCTTTCTGAGCATCAGTGTCCTCATCTAACAAAGGGGCAGCAGATGGCCCCTCCCTTGCAGCACTGGCTTTAGGTGTAAATGCCACCATGAAGATATGACCCCTGACCTCTCCCACTGCTGCTTGTAGTCCAGGTATTACTTGGTCTGGTAGCTACAGGAAGGGGCAGGAGCTCTCTCCCAGGATACAGCGGATCTGAGTGGCGATAGACCCACTGACACCTGTGATAGCCTAAGCAAGGGACACAGTCTGATAACTTAATAATATCCTATCTAATAAAGAGGGAATATGCTAATTGAATGTCATGCCCTCAAATATAGCAGTGCCTATAGCCACAAGACGGCAGTGCCCAGAACTCTCAGCACTGCTGGGGCAGCTTGTGCTCTGAAAGGCTAGACATGCCCCTAGGCTAGCGGATGCCTCCAGAGTCCCCTGTTCCCTTCAGCCCCAGCTGCCCAAGGCCAGACTGAGGCACAGACAAGCCTCAGAAGTTAGCTGCCCCACTGCAAGGTACAGGCAAGCCTTGGATGTTGATGGTGACTGCCCGGCTGTCCAGGGCCACCTGAGGCTCAGGTAACTAGGGTAGGCCTAGGTGTGATAGAGGCGTCACCTTCCCATGATCACTTGGTAACTTTCTGCCTGTCAGGGCTCTCGCATTGTGAGAGAGGGCAGGCAGGGCTGAGGGACACTCCCCTCAAATCCATGAATTTTCTTGCCTTGGGCCTCTGGTATGTAAATCAAGATAAGCCACCTTTCCTCCTTGTGCCCAGCAGTTGTGGAGAGACGCCATTGCTACCATGTCTAGCATAGAAATTTGGCAATACCACACAAATTAAAATGCACACACCCTGTGACGTAGCAAAGACACTTCCCGTGGGCACTTCCTTCTAAAGTTGGGTGACACATGGACAAGGGTACCCTGTATCACTATGAGAATAGCTCAAGGCTGGGAACAACTCACATCCTTCAACAGAAAACAGTGAATGAAGGATGCTGTTTCCACAGGCTGGAGGGGAGGCAGCTGGTGAAGGAGGGGCAGCTCTCGGTGCTGATGTGGAAGCTCCACTTGGAGCGATGTGGCTGGAAGTATGGGAGGGGTTCCCTATCACCAGGGCCACAAAGTCTGAGTGTGAGGGCCATGTGAAGCTTTGGGTACCAGTGAACATAGAGGTGTTGGCTCCCTGTTCAAAGGTGTGCTGGAATGAGCTTTATTCAGGGAGCTGCATTCACCAGGTTTTTGATGGAAAGTGTGTCTATCTCTGAAGGAGGAAATAGCTTCTAAAATCAGAGAGGGTTGTGAACAATCTCCTCATTCCTTGGCCATGTGACTTTGGACAGAGTCCCCTTCACCTTTTGACCTCAGGTGACCATCTGATCGTGGGGAGTCAGGCTGGATGGTCGAAAGGTCCCTGCGTACTCACGGTCCAGGATTCAGGATCACAGGCCTCTGGTAAAACACCCTCAATGAGGACGGTGTTGCCTGAATGGGGCGACCCCTAAGTCTCCCACATGGGGAGCCTCTACCATGGGTGAGGGACATTCTGAGAGGACCGAACTCAGCTGACAGCCTTCATGGGATTCTGGAATAAAGGGTGTCCCAGCAGGCCCACGGTGATCGCCCCCTTCTGGCCATCTCCTCCCAGCAGGGCTGTCAGAGTGAACAGGAGTCTGGGCCTCTCAGGATTTCCTTCTCCTGGGATGTTTCTGAGGCTGAGAAAAAGCAGATCCTTCTCTACTCCCTGCCGTAATGAATTCCTCCCACTGGAGGCAGAGAACGGAGCTTCGAGGGGAACAGCTGTTGCCTGCTTTGTTCTGCAGCTGCCTCAGCACACAGCGCAGAGCCTGGCTCACAGCAGGTGCCCAGTGGGTGTCACTAAGCAGGAGCCTGTCCACATTGAGAGGAGCACTTTTTGGAGGTGGGTGAGGTCTGGCCTTGTGATGGACAAATCACTCAGCTCATCAGTCATTCATTCCTGGCACCAAGGGGCTGGAAAGCATAGAAAGGCCAGGGCTGGGGATCCAGACAAGTGGGGGCCCCAGACTTGCCACACCACTGACCAGCCGTGGTGGCTGACCAAATAGCATGACATCTCCAGGCCTCAACTTTCCTGATCTGCAGGTGGGGTTGGGGGAGAATCAGACCAGGAATCAGATCATGACTATAAGCACCCACATCCGCACCTGACTCTTAGTTGTTGTTCAAAGATGGAAGTCGACCCCTCCCAGAACTCACCATTCACGCTGAGCTGAGTGCCTGCTCCAGACTTGAGCTCCGTGTTATTATCACCGGCTTCGTTCCCGAACTTCACACAGTAGTAGGTCCCTGTGTCTGCTGGGGTGATGTTACTGATGAGGATGGAAAAGTCCGTGTTCTGTGTCCACGTGGTGTCTGCAAAACTTGTTACTCGGGGGAATTGGCCTCCTGTGAAATCATAGATTAACTCCCGACATGGCCCTGTCCATCTGAACCACCTGATGATCTCCACAGGGCACAGGGAGGTCACGGTGCAGTTCAGAGTGGCCGTCTCTCCAGGTGTGACGTACACTGACCTCTGAGGCTGAATCACCAGCAGCTCTTCCTCACCTGCTCCTCCTGAAGTGATGCACAGACTGGTTATTTACTCAGCATAGGGGACCCTGTGGGCTGTGTCAGTATTTATCAATAATAGCTTTTATCAACTGAGTGCACATCTTGAGCGGGCCTTGAGCCCAGCATTTTGCATGTGTCATACCTGTAACCCTTACAACCATCTTATAATGTGAGAGCCTATAACAAATGAGGATCTGAGGCAAAGAGAGGTAACAAGAGTATATTTAAGTTTCTTCCCATCACGCAGTTGTTCTGATGCCAGCAATGGAAGGGGTGTGTTTTGCTTTTTCCTATAACCTGTGGCTGCCCAGCTGAGCGAATTGGCTCCTGGAGGTACCATCCATCCAGCTTGAGGAGATGAGAGCATCAGCCAGTTTGTCTCTGGCAGCCATGGCTGGTCGTCTGATGATGAGGAAGTTGGTGCAGAGAAATAGCACATCCCTTGGAATAGCACTCATTTGCAGAGAACTGCAAAAGGAAACCAGTGCTTGCAGAAGACTCACTGAAACCTTACCCAGATTCCTCTTTAACGTCTCTCGTTAAAGGGACAGGGTGGTACTTGCTACTGAACCTGAGCTACAAGTTGGAATTGAAGCAGGTCATGGCTCGGCTTCAGAATGTTTCCTGAATAGGAATGAAAATTTTCCAACAACAACCAGGAAGCAATCATAAGCTTTAAGGATGAATGGACTCGGCTGCCTATGTTCTCTGGGCCTCAGGCACTGAAAGAAAGCTTCAGAGAAGCCACAGGTGCTGGA